AGTGTGGGGCTTTGGTTTCCTCAGTGTCTCACTGATTAACCTGGCCTCTCTCCTGGGAGCCCTCGTCCTGCCGTGCACGGAGAAAGCGTTTTTCAGCCGTGTGCTCACTTACTTCATCGCCCTGTCCATTGGAACGCTGCTCTCTAACGCGCTCTTCCAGCTCATTCCAGAGGTGCAGTAGAACAGGCGCGCGTCCTCCCCAACGCCAGGCCCTCCTGGCTGATGTCCGTACCCCGCCACGCTCCAGGCTCCCAGCACTGCCTCCTCTTACCAAGGGCCACCAATGACTCCTCACTCTATCTAGATCTCAAGGGCCTTCTTTCTCTCCTCCGGGCACTTAGGGTTGCCTCTGGCCTCTTCAGGTGCCGTCAGATGCAAGGCTCCTCGTGTTTGCTGCCCTTCGGGGATCTGTGGCTGGTGGCTGGTCCCTATTCTTGGTGCTGCCTACCTTGCCTCCACTGAGGGAACCCTGGGGGCACTTGGGTGTGGCACCAGTTATCCACAGCACTGAGGTGGGGAAAGGTCACTAACTGGATGTGTGGATGTGCTGTGCTGGCCATCCTTGTTTGTCCTCAGGCCATCTTTGTGCCGTACAGAGCCAAAGGTAGAACAAAGACTATTTGAGAAGAACAAATACAATTAAAAATATAAAATAAACAGAAGGGCACCGCATCCTTTGTACCTTGCATCTTGACCTTTTCCTGATTGGGACGGACTTCCTGGTACCCTTACTTGACTGTTTTGAAATGTTTGGTCATTTTGTTTCTTAATTGTCATCCCTGAGGAGCTATAAAAATAAGCCCAAGTTGACAGTCTTCCCGCCTTTTTAGCTTAGTCAGGGACTCTGGTGTGTACCTGACCCCCCTTGGAGTGGCAGAAGCTGCCTTTCACACAGAGTCCCTGTCAGCAGCTTCCCCGCCCGCCCAACTGAAAGACGGATCCGGAGCGGATGTCAGATGGGATGTTGTGCGTGTGTCACCTTATCCTCATCCATGATTCTGAGACCACCTTGATATGCCCTCTCAGAATTTCACATGGATTTAGCAAGCACTTGAGGGGAGGCCTCATCTTGGGCTATTTTTTCAGCTCTAGAAATGGAACTTATTAATTTTTTAAAGATTGGAAATCAAATGCCTCATTGTCTGTTTGAATGAAACTGCTGTCACTGAACATGCTCCGCCCCTGGCTCACAGGGGAGTGTCATCTTGGCACAGTTCTGCCCTGCCCTCTCCTGGGGCTGGACTCAGCTCGGAGTGTGTCTGACTGAGAAATGTGAGAGGGAGTATTTTTTGTGACGGGATGACTCTGGAACTCTGTTCTCTACGTCCAGGTTCCTTTTCAAGCAAATGGAAATAATTAAAAACTGCTGAAGTGCAGAGACAGAATATTATAGGCATCGGGTCTTGTTCTTCATCCCTCCTGCCCTGCACGTAGATAGACTTTGTGTATCTTGCACAGACTGCACCACCTCCAGGTTGTGCAGCACGTGCCTCTGTGACACAGATTGGATATGCAGAGGCCAATGCTCAGCATAATGTGCAGGTCCCTCCACTTGTCGGTATGTCCTGTTAAAGAGAGTCAGTCCTCAAGTCCAAAGTCTGATGGACCTGAGCATACGTTGGACATGTGACAAGGTAGCACCCTGCACTTCCTGCCAGACACACCAGCTGGCAGGTATGACTCAGGCCACCAAAGACAGCAGGGGCTGGAGTCACAGGGTTCCAAGGCCACTTCGAGCTCCTTCTCATTTCTCTGCACTGATTGAAAGAAATTTTCATCAAAGACTCGAATCACTAACAGATTTTCTATTTCTCTCTCCCTCCCTACTTGTCTCTCTGGTTTTTCTTTTTTTGTTTCCTTTGTTAATATCCACAACTTTCCCTATCACCTCCTCCCCTCAATGGTGGCTGCCCCGCTCCCTGTCCCGGGTGGGCTGGCAGTGTGGGGATACGGTCTCCTCTGTGTCACCGTCATCTCCCTCTGCTCCCTCATGGGGGCCAGCGTGGTGCCCTTCATGAAGAAGACCTTTTACAAGCGGCTGCTGCTCTACTTCATAGCTCTGGCGATTGGAACCCTCTACTCCAACGCCCTCTTCCAGCTCATCCCTGAGGTATGGCGAGCCAGAGCCCCTGGACCTGGAGTGCGCCTGTCTCCCTCGGGGGGACAGTGGGCACCGTGGGAGACCTCCGATTACATGGAAGGTGCAGGGAGGGGCTCTCAGGGGCCTTTCCTTTGGGAAAGTCAAGCCAGGACTTAGGTAAGAGGTAGGAGAAGCTGCGCAGTGTAGGGTTAAGAGCCAGGTTCAAACCCTGCTGCACCGTCTCCAGGTTCTACAACCTCGGGCAAGCCGCTTACCTCTCTGTTTCCTCATGTAAAATAAGAAAGACGATAGGATTGACCTCAAGAGAATGGAAGGGTCACGTGAGATAATATTTGTAAAGTGCCTGGTGCCAGGAAAAGTGTTCCAACTGTTAAGTGAAAAGATGTCGTTTAGCTGTGTCACTTTATGGCTCTCCGTTTGGTACTTTCGGTGCAGAGTGGTATAAACACGTCGACAGAATCCATGGGTCTTAGTAAAAACATCAGTTCTCAGAAGGGAGTCTGGGGACAGAGACAATCTAAACAGAACAGGCGAGTTTCCCATCACTGACAGCAGCTTTGTCCCTTATCTAGGTAAATGAGAAAAATCCTCCACGTTAGAGAAGGGCGCTTAGTACTTGTAAGGTCTGGTAGGCCCTCTCGCAGATGCCTCATCTGCCTGGGTGCAATCTCTTCAGCAGACCCATTAATTACAATAAGCACAAGACATCTCGCGTAGGTGGTCTGGCAGGCCCACAGAACAAAAGGGTGACTCCACATGCTTCTTGTAGTACTTTGTTTTCTAAAATGCTGTTTTGTGTTCCTAGTGGAGCAAATCTGAGGTCTGTAGAGCTCGTATTTTTTTTTTAATATTTCTTTTTTAGTTGTAGGTGGACGTAATATCTTCATTTCATTTTTAGGTAGTGCTGAGGTTTGAACTCAGTGTCTCATGTGTGCTGGGCAAGCACTCTACCACTGAGCCCCAGCCCCAGCCCCAGCCCCAGAACTAGTATTGTTCAACCCATGGAATCTGACCCTGCACCAGAGCACCTACCCTGAGCCTATGTGCCAGGTTTGCTGACCCTCGAAGTCAGGCTTTTGAATACTGCCGTCCTCCCTGGCTCAGTGTGGAGAGGTGGTAGTTTAGTTGCTTCTTTTCACTTTACTTTTCCCTCCGTGATTCGCCTCTCCCAGAGAGCTGACCAGATGTGCTACTTCTACTACAGAACGTATGTCTTTTAGAAAACGACATAGAGCCGGGTGTGGTGAGCACATGCCTGTAACCTCAATGGCTCAAGAGGCTGAGGCAGGAGGATCGCGAGTTCAAAGCCAGCCTCAGCAAAAGCAAAGCACTAAGCAACTCAGTGAGACCCTGTCTCTAAATAAAATACAAAATAGGGCTGGGGATATGGCTCAGTGGCCAAGTGCCCCTTAGTCAATCCCTGGTACCCCCACCAAAGAAAGAAAACAACACTAGAGGCTTATGATTGAGTATGGTGCCTTTAAAACCTAAAGGAAAAGCACCTTTTAAACAGCCAGGGTTCCCCTTCGCTGGTTAGCTCCTATATGCAACCTGAACCTGAGGGGCACTGGAGTTTATTCAAGGCCTGTTTCTAGTTAGAAGACTGAGGAGCAAGTCATTGAACACTTTGACACCATAAACCAAGAACTGAACTTGAAAGAGAATTCTCCTGGTTTTCTGCTCCTGTCCTCTTTCCAATGGATTCTTTCTCCCTCTCCTTAATAAGTGAGGGTTTTCAGAAAGAACTCAGAACAATTCCCCTTCCCCAGCTGGGCGCGGAGGTGCACACCTGTACTCCAGGCTACTTTGGAAGCCCAGGCGGGAAGGTCACTGGAGCACGTGCACCCAAGACCAACTGGGGAGCAAAGCAAGACCTTGTCTCAAAAACCCTCCCAGCACAATTTTGTTGTTGTTTTTTAAAATATTTATTTGCTTATCTCTAAACTGGTAGGGATCTCACTATATTGCCCAGGCTGGTCTTAAATTCTTGGTCTCAAGAGATCCTTCTGCCTCAGCCTCCCAAGTAGCTGAGATCAAGGCGTGTGCCACAGAGCCAAGCTTCAAAAGCTCCCCAGATTAACACCTACAGGGGTGTTGACGGCTTTTTTTTGGCTTTGTGGTCCCCATGAGGTTTGTGGTTAAGAAGATGCCGCAATTCTTGCTGCTCAACTGGGGAATGGATTTCCCTTTTAGAAAGCATAATTCCACCACTTCCCGTTCTGTTTGCAGACAGATCAGCTGGGGACATTAAATAAGATGAAAATAAACACAGGCATCTTCTTCTTAAATATGGAATGCACCGACAGGATGCTCTTATAACTAAGTGCTAAGAGAAATTAAGGCATACCTAACTAAGAGTAGAAAACCATGTGGTACATGCCTATTGTCCCAGCTACTTGGGAAACTGGAGCAGGAGAATCCCAAGTTCAAGGCCAGCCTGGGCAACGGAGCAAGACCTCTCAAAAAAAAAAAAAAAAGTAGAAAACCATATCCAGGACTACTCTTCCTAAGATTAAAATCCTAAAGATTGTCTTTTGGGAAGATGAGCAAGAAAGAACCTGGCAGGGCTGGCGATGTCACATCAGGGGAACATCAAGATTAGTTGATGGCAAGAGAAGGGCAGACAGCGGAGGTATTCCCGGATGCCTCTTTCCTAGAGTCAGGGAAGTAGTTAAGGTGAGAGGGAACCAGTGGAGATATTTATTTTCTTAAACTCATTTTATTTTCCTGGGTCCACAGGCTTTTGGCTTCAATCCTCTGGAAGATTATTATGTCCCCAAGTCTGCCATGGTGTTTGGGGGCTTCTACCTTTTCTTTTTCACAGAGAAGATCTTAAAGATGCTTCTTAAGCAGAAAAATGAGGTAAGGCCAATCATCAGTTTTAAAAAAAAAATGTCCGAGGGAACGCACCCACCTCAGAGAGCTGAGGCTGTTGGTGCAGGTGTGGCTCCACCAGTGCAGTGATGTGACCTGTCTGAAGCCACAGGTGCCCTAAGGAGGTCAGCCCAGCTCACCTCATGAGGATATGAGCCACGGTGGCAGCCCTACCGGAAACTGGGTCTGGCCAGAGAGCCCTTTACTGCAGCAGCAGTTTATCCCCTTTGCTTTGTTCTGGATTATTTCCTAAACATCTGATGTCTGACTGTAAAGAATAGGACTGACTAGCGTAGCACAGATCCAGAAAGATGACCTTCCACATCCGGCATGTGGTGGTTCCCTCACGGTGGCAGAGTCAGCAGAAATGCTCGTGGCAGAGGAGGGGCTCTGGGTGCCTTTGTAACGGTCCCTCAGTGCAAGGAGGGCACCCCAGGGACAGGCCTTAGCCTCACACGTGATGCTGCCACAGGTGACAGTTCCCACACTTCTGTGCGTGGCCTGTCCTGGTTTCCTTGGATGACCGTAGTGAGGTCTTTGCAGAGCTTGGAGTAGGTGTTCGGGGGGTTTGGTGAGGGTCACACTCACCCCTCCCCTGTCACCCCACCAGCATCATCACGGACATAACCATTTTGCCTCGGAGACACTTCCTTCCAAGAAGGACCAGGAGGAGGGTGTGACAGAGAAGCTGCAGAATGGGGATCTGGACCACATGATTCCTCAGCACTGCAACAGCGAGCTCGATGGCAAGGCCCCGGACGTGGACGGGAAGGTCATCGTGGGCTCGCTCTCCGTGCAGGTCTGTGGCCGCCAGCTGCTGGGGAGCCTGCAGAGGCAGAGGCCTTGACGGGTCAGGCGTATGCTGAAAGCGTGTGGTCTTCCCCGTGACCCACGGTCGTGGGATGTGCTTTCTCATAGGACCTCCAGGCTTCCCAAAGTGCCTGTTACTGGCTGAAGGGTGTCCGCTACTCCGACATCGGCACCCTGGCCTGGATGATCACCCTGAGTGACGGCCTGCACAACTTCATCGACGGCCTGGCCATAGGTGCCTCCTTCACTGTGTCTGCTTTCCAAGGCATCAGCACGTCGGTGGCCATCCTCTGTGAGGAGTTCCCACACGAGCTGGGTGAGCACACATCCCCTGGAGCCTGGGTGGCGACCTTGGTTACCGGTGCAGCCCCACTTCATAGCTCCCCAGTGCCACTCAGCGCGCTCTGTAATCCGTTAACACCCGCAAGCTGTGTGGACTCTAACCACCGCGTCCTAACAATAAGCCAACAGCAGCTTAGGACGATGACGTTTTTCACAGGGAAATTTGTCTCCCTGTAGCTCATCCCCTGAGGCTCAATGTTCTCACCTGTACAGAGGCTGGTAATAGCAGCTACCTTAGAGAGTCACCGGGAGGTAGGCAAGACGCAGAAAGGGCTTACCTTGTGCTGCTCACTGTTCCCAGTGCTCAGCGAGGGTGATCTCTTACGCCCTGGACTCTTCCAAAGGCAGAGGAGTGTGCTAGAAGTCTGACAGGTGGATCTGTGGACGAGGCTGAGCTTGGGAGGTGCTTGGTTTTATCAAGGGAGAGTGTAGAAAGCCAGGATTCTGGAGGCTCAAATGGTCCAGTTTTGGCTTTGCCATTGGCTTGCGACTTTTCTTCCTCACAATTTCATTTCCGAAAAAGACAATTCACTATAGTAGTAAGGAAGGAAGTTCTTTGTATTTCACCTTCAATCAAAAGAAATGGGCCCATCTCTAGCTGGTCACCTACTTTCAAAATCCTGCATGTGGTTTCCAGCATCTTAGCCAGTGTGCATGACCAGTTTGGCAGATGGGGCAGCTCCTGAACAGAATGTCAATGGTCAGTCTCGATTCTGAGGCTGTCTTGAGTTTTACCCAGACTTCGTCCATAGCTGGGCCTTCTGACTCGCCCATGTTCTCTGTCTCCCAACTCAACTTCCTTTCCCTTCTGTTCTCCCCTCCGTAGGAGACTTTGTCATCCTGCTCAATGCTGGGATGAGTATCCAGCAGGCTATGTTCTTCAACTTCCTTTCTGCCTGCTGCTGCTACGTGGGTCTGGCCTTTGGCATCCTGGCCGGCAGCCACTTCTCGGCCAATTGGATTTTTGCCCTGGCTGGAGGAATGTTCTTGTATATTGCTCTGGCTGACATGGTAAGTCTGCCGTAGTTTATACCTTAGAGGCAAAATGGGCCAGATTATCAAATTGTGAATAGAGAACAGCTAGGGGGACATAAGTTAGTTTTTAATAATGGCTTTATTGAGGTGTCTTCACATACCGCACAATTCACCTACTTAAGGTATACGATTAGTGGGTTTTAAGGAAGTATTAGATCTACCACCCTCCCACCCCCAGCAGGGTCTCACTGGGTTGCCCAGGCTGTTCCTAAACTCGATGACTCAAGCAATCCTCCTGCCTCAGCCTCTTGAGTAGCTGGGACTATAGGACTCCGGGTGTGCACAATCACACCAACCTATGACATGACAAGAGATTTTAAGGCCAGAAAACTTAATGTTTCTGATAGGATGTCATTAAAGAAAATGTGCTCAATCTAGGGTCCTTAGTTAAGTATTATAAAATAGGTATATATAGATGAATAAAAAGAAGAAAGAAGAATTACTCATAATCTCTCTACCTCATAATTAACACTGTTTCTTTTTTATCTCAATGTATTGTGTATGTCTGTAAGTGACTGTATTCATATTGAATATATAATCTTGTGTCCTCATTTCTTTTACTTAACACATCATGGATGTTTTTACATGTTGCATGCTCTTTGTAAATATTCTTTTCAGTGATGGTATTGTTCAATGAGAGTATATACTTTAGTTTCAGAATTAGAATTATTGGCTCAAAATGGATACATGGGTTGGGTTGTGGCTCAGTCATAGAGCACATGCCTAGCAAGTGTGAGACAATGGGTTCGATCCTCAGCACCACATATAAATACATAAAAAGTAAAGGTCTATGAACAATT